TGTCTCTGAAAGTGAAAGCACCATAAAATATATAAAGTCATACGCAGCTGTCATCCGTACGCAAGGAAGTAAGCACAAGATGCCGAAAACCCTTAGCAGGATGCAGCGCACCCTTCATGCGACTCGCCGAATATCTCACGGCGCTTCGCGCTTGGTGATGTGAGAGCCTGGTCCGGTGAGAACCCGGCGTGCTCCGTCCCGGCTTTGTAGGGATGCGAGGTCAATGGTCTAACGACTACGGCATGCACGACTATGGGTATACCCCTCCCCTTGGTGGATAAACCTCCACAATCAACAGCATCCCAATCCAGGGTGCTTGCGTCGTCGGATGTATTTTCTGTCTTTTCAGCGCTTTTCGTGTCTTCGCGCCCATCTCCTTCGTTGGTCAGTTGGCAATCATCTCGTCGGCCGCTTCAACACGACTTTCAGCTCCTTGGTGGCCTGGGCGATGGAGGCGGCTCCAGCGCTATCCTGAGGGGACGCACGCGCGAGAGCGAAACGAACCGAGAAGAAACGCACGAAATACGTGGGAAAAGCATCCGTGAACAACGTCGGACGCACAGGAATACAGGCACGAGCACGCGACGCTGTTTTCGAAAACAGGAGAGACGAATCCTCGCGGAGAAGGAGAGGACAATCATACAGACACGGCGGGGCGGTTAGACGTGTGTGAGTTCGATTTCTATAATCCTTTTGGGCGGGACCACTAGCCCAAAACAAAAAAGGCGTCGGGTTCCATCTCAGAGTACCGCGCCGAGCAACGGCCACGCTGTTCTCGTCGAGGGCGCGTCCGTTCACTGTTGGCACGAAGCTGACGACCATTTTTTCTTTAGCGGCATCCCGTTTGGTCCGGCGCCAGAGACAATAGCGTTCGGTACAATTTCGGCGTGCCAGGCGACTTCACACAAACCTTTTCCCACGAAGATCGAAATGGTGCTCACTCATTACAAGATGAGACTTTATGGCGATAAAAATCGGGCTGGGTTTCATTTCCAGTACACCAATTGTCGACAAAGCTGCCCCTCCAGAAACACGTGCGTTTGTGCGGGAGTTTAGATGAAACAGGTCTGGTCCCTCGGCAGACAGACGGGCCCATACCGCACCCATCTGCCTGGGTGCTTTGCCGCAAAGCGAGACGCAAGAAAGAAAAAGACGCGACCGCCGAACCTGTTGTGCGCTCCCCCCCAGAGGGTCGAGAATTCGTGCGCCTCAGCACGGTGGAGCCGCTCCGACACGGGAACGTCAGCCTCCGCTACCACCCTTTTTACAGCTCTCACGGCTTCTAAAGATGGCAGCACTCAGCACGCGCCAAAAGGAACAGAGCGGTAAGCGATGAGATCAGGGCGGCATTGGTTGCTGTAATCCAACGAGTCCGAAATTTCATAAGCGGAAGAAAGGAAGGGACACCGCAAACAAGATCACCCCACCGGTTGGTGATTCTTTTGCGGTGCTGCTGCTGCTGCTGCTGCTGCTGCTGCTGCTGCTGCTGCTTTCTCTCTGGACTTACTAACTACTTTTTGAGGCTTGTGTCCACCAACGACGTGGGCAACGGCGAAACAAGCCAACGTTTAATTCCCGGCGAGCGCTAGCGAAGGTGTGCCGCCGGCGCCGACAACGGCGCGAGGGGCGGGGAGAACGAGAAGGGCCGGCTTGCTGTACAAGGCGATCGAAACAAGTACAAATCGCTCGCCGCAGAGGATATGCCTCTTCTCTTCCATGGACAACACAACTAGGATACCACGAACACCGTCATGCTTGGCAACTTCGCCGAGATGCCGCCGCCATTGACACCACCAGCACTTGTTCACACACGTGGAACTCCTTCCGGCGCAGACACCCGGCCAAACCTCGTTCACGACGCCTGAGGCTGAAATTGCCCTTGACTGAAAATCAATGATCCGACAACCCAACCTAAAACCCAACCTCGACCCCAAAGCCTCACCGTGCGCGTCTTGCGTCAGGACCCCGCCGAGGAACTCCTGCGCCGCCGCGAGCGCTTCGCCTTCCTCCGCCGCGACAGCGTCGACCAGGCCGAGAGCGACTGCCTCGTCGGCGGCCAGCGGCGGGCTCCAAGCCAGTAGTCGCAGGGCGGCCCTCCGGCCGACGATCCCGACCAATCGAGCTCCGCCGCCCCAGCCTGTGCTCACTCCCATCTGCGTGTGATTTGCATATAGATGTTGGGCGAACGAGGTTGGCTAGGGCAAGGAATGTGCGTGTGTTTATTTGAATAGCATCGACCGCGCTAACCGGCTAAAAAAGTGGAACGACGTTTGTCTTTAAAGCGGGGTGACAATAACGCGCTCGTGGTTTCTAGTCATCAGTCGCGCAGGAGGCTTGACTCCAGGGAGTCAAGCCTCCGGATTCCGAGCGCTTGCAAAAAGCGTGTGTGCGTTAAATTAGGTGGCATCGACCGCGGTAACCGGCTGACCAGCGATTATCACCGTTCTTCCTGCTGGCGGATACAACACAAACATTTTGAGGCGCTGTTATCAGCTCAGCTGTTTCGTGTGGGCCAGGTTGAGACGGGACACGTGTTGAGCGGCGAAAAAGGAGAAGGAGCAACGAAACACAGCAAGGGGGTTCGGGAAATAATGGTACCGACGATACAGGGAACGCGGGTGTGAATCAATAGTGCTGCTCCGAAAATAGTCTTAATTGAGCGTGCGATCGAAAGCTCTGGCAAATGACAACCACGCCAACTTGGTTATAGCAGCGGAAGCTACAGCAGCAGCATCAGCAGCAATGGCAGCAAGTAATCGCAGCAGCGGCTTTGACACCGCGTCCGATTCGGCACAAGTCTTCGCATCGGTACAAGCCCTCGTCCGGTAGGTAAACAGAGGGTGGGGGGACGCGAGAACACCATTAGCTGAGCGCGCACGTCTACGCACCTTGACCTGCACAAAGCGAATGCTAGACTCCGGCCCGACTACGCGGAAGTCGCAAGAGGTAGCGAGCTCCGCTCCCCCGCCAACTGCCGCTCCGTCGATCGCAGCCACGCTAATGACGGGCAACCTGCCCTTGCGTTGGTTGGTGACCGAAGCGACAATCAAGAAGGCCAACACGAGTAAGCTATTTAGGCTCCGGCTTTGATCCGGCTACTACCCGAAATAGTACGCTCCTACCCCATTGGCGTTCTTGAGCGTAAGGAGGGGCCGTGGTGCGTCCATGCAGGATGGTTTACCCATTCGTGCCACTGTTGCAACTGCAAACGAGTACACCAGCAAGGTTTTATCTGTCCACGGAGATTCTTTGCCCCCAGGGCGTGGGCTAATTCACGCAACCCCCACGTGCAGCACTGCCTCCGGCCAGAGTTAGTTATCTGGGCACGGGTTCCATGGCGAACGAATATGGTCTCGAAATTTGTCGTTGCAACCATCGGCCCCAGGCTCACGAGCATGTACCAACACAGGGAGCAAGCATGCCCTTGGGTGTGCACTCAACAGGAGGGATACAAAATAAGACCCAAGGCATGATTATCACGCAATGGATTCAATGAAATCTCGTCCAAGCTCATCTGCACGCAGATAAAACGGCAGCAGCAGCAGCAGCAGCAGGTATGGCCAGAAAAATTTACCTCCTGAGACGCGTCAACGTGTCGGACATGAGGGCGCACATGGACCGGCCGTCGGCGCCCGTTCGCAGGTGCTCCCTGGCGAGCGAGAGGTCCGCCCCCGCGCAAAAATTTCCTCCCATCCCGTGTACTACGAGGGCTACCCCCCTGTCCCATTTCTCCAGCTCGTTCACGGCGTCGGCCAGTTGGACCATCATCGTGCCTGAAAGGGCTGTCGATATTTTTATCGTAGGAGATATACATAAAATCGATAAATCAATAGTCTATATATGGTGATGGGTTCGAAATTTGTTACATGTACCTACATTTTCGAAGAAGTAGCAGGCGACCACGAATGTAGATGGGTCGTCGTGTGCGGCAGTAGCGTCGTCAGCCAGACAATGAAGGTGTGGTCTACTGTTTACCGGAGGTGCGCGCAAACCGCAACATCGTCGTTGTCGAGAGGAATTGCGGGAGTGCGTGACGTGGCGAGGTAGCAAACACAGTACAACGCGGTGACGGTGAATCGTGCGTAGTGTATGCATCACGGTACTGCAGGTGTACCGTCGAGAACAGCGGTACGCGCAACCGTTCGCATAATACATAATGCTTAGTTTGAGCTGTGCTTTTCTGCTTCCTGCCACGACTAGGTCGGGGCCACATGCAAAGCAAGTGGGGAGGACGGGTTGTGTTCAGTGAGGTGCGGACAGCGCGGGGCGACGGATGGGAAGACACGTTGTGAGAAAAAAAATAAAAGTTGTGTTGCACAAGAGGACCCCCTCGTGTTGCAGACCGGAAGTTATGGGCCTGTTGATATAGCCTCGCGGCTGCATATCGACGAAGGATAGGAATAATGAAAAGTATGCGGCAAGGACGCGCATCTGTGCCGCATCGCCGGACGCAGATCTCCGTCGCTCTCGTTGGCGTCGCAATGCTAGTCTCCGTTCTCTCTCTATTGAGAAACAGCGACTCTGTTCAAAACTAATGAAGTGACAGCCGAGAAGCTTTGGCGCTGCAGGCTGTAGACACGTTGTAGCCTTAGCACCCTCCGCCTCCCGCCTCCCCTGTGACAACACTATAATAGTGGATATTCCAACACGTAGCACCCTTGGAACCGAATTAACACAATCTTCAAGAGAAACGTCAACAGCAGTTAGTTGCTAATAGAACACGTGTTAGTAAATATGCGCCAGAACCTACAGAACATTATAGTATTCCGAAAGAAAGCGGTGCACCTCATGCGTGTGGTAGACTATGAAATCCTAAGCTTCCGCGGTGGGTTAAGGGGGGGCCACTGCTTGTAAGAATCGACTGATGTCGTTTTGTTACTCCTTGTTGTACCTTTGGTAGTCTGAGCTTGCGATGTAGATCTATCGTTTACTTCATTTTAAAAAAATTTTCAAACACTTTTTGTTCCGGGAGGTGGTACATGTGGCTAGCTTCAACTCTCCCTCTCCTGGAGACCTCACCGTTACGTCTTTCGTGGTTGTCGAGAACCAACGTCGCCATACCACTTCTGTCGTCGAGAGAAAGATCCACCCGCCCGGGTCCGAGAGGTCGCAACCGATCCTTGAACTCGCGCAAGTCTCCGTGCTCGTCCGGCGTGCTGCTGGTGCTAATTTGATGCCTGATGCACCGCTTTGAGCTCGTCGCACAGGCATCTGCTCGGAAATTCCGGGATGAAATGACGGGCGGCGGCCAGAGAAGGGTAGAGCGGTGTTGCACGAGCCGTGTGCAACGCGGAAACATGATCTTCTTGTTGCTGTGTTCATTGATTGAGGACAACCAACGCTGAATAGCATGGGCGCCCGCGATTGGCTCTTTTAACTCGGTGCCCATCACGTAGTCACTTAGATTCCTATTCGCCGGCCCCCCACGGCAAGCAAGATTGAGATGCCACAAACAGCCAGCACACGCCACGAGGAGGTGTGTGGGGTGGGGGCACCAACCACACACGATTGCCAAGCTCTAAGGCCTCCGGGGGGTCGCCAACGCTCTGCTGTAGGTGGTTCAGCGCTTCTATCCACTTAATCGAGCTCAGGGTAAGCAGTGATTTCAAACGGCGGGAGTACCGCAGGCCTCTGCGCAGCATTGAAAGGCATCAGCAGCGCGGGAGACGATGGAAAGCCAGGATGCCGTCGGCCTCGACCATGACGTCTCACTCACGGACCTTCAGGTACGCTCGTGTATATGGGTATATGCTTACGTCGTTGCAATTGCAGCAGGATCTTTCCGTTTTCGGTCGTTGGCGGAGTTTGGCCATGTTTCATGGACGCGGTCTGTCCTCCCAGCGGCGGTGCTGCTCGCAAGGGTGGGCACATCGCCTGCTGCAAGCAATTGCTGCTGGTACGTGGATGCGACGCCCGTAGTCAGCTCTTTTTCCACCCGTGTATCCTCCGTGCTTTTGCACGGCTCGAAGCATGTTGTTGGTGTGAAAGTTATGGGGGTGGACGACACTTACTACTTCGAGGTCGTACATGTCGTGGGTGTACCAGATCGTGTTGCAACGGCAGCGCTTGCAACGATAGGTGCGGGCACAAGAGGACGAGCATTTTGAGGAGGCCTTGTCTGTGTATCTACTGCTGTATGTAGAGAGGGCACTGTTCAACAAAACTCTCAAATAAACAAAGACACATGTTGCATGTCTGAATGATATCTACAAGTGCCCCAGGCTGTCCGTGTCCACCATCTAGCGGCAAATCTTATCCCGCAAGCCGGGCTACAGCATTTCATCCTTGCCTTGCAAGAGGAATGCACCATCGGTGATCACCTCCTATGTGCGCTGAGTAAAATCTGTGCACACCCCGACCGCATGCAGCCAATACATGCTTGTGTCCGCACCACCCGACACACATGTTCAAGGATTAGCCTCGTCTTGTTCGTTGTACTTCACCCGAGCCCTTCACCGTCCGCCTCTTCCTCTCTTCTAACCCCCCCCCCCCCCCCCCCCCCCCCCCCCCCCCCCCCCCCCCCCAC